CCCCACTCGCCGGGCGGGCGGATCATGGTGAGGGCGAGGAGGTCGGTGGCGGCGATGACCATGCCGCCGAAGCTCTTGATTTCGGAGGCGAGCGCCTCCCAGTCGGTGAGGCGGCCGTCGACGTCGGGGTACTGTACGAGGGCGCCGATGATGTCGTCGCGGGGGATCTGGTCTGCCGGGGGCAGACGGTGGCCGTCGGGGGTGCGTAGGTCGGTGGCGACGACGTTGATGCCGAAGCCCTTTGCACGCTGGCGGAGGACGGCGAGGGTTTGGGGGAGGACGCCGCGGTCGACGAGGAAGGTCTTGCGCTTGCTCTTTGTCTGACCGTAGGCGAGGATCATGGCCTCTGCGGCAGCGGTGCCCTCGTCGAGGAGGGAGGCGTTTGCGAGGTCGAGGCCGGTGAGCGACTTGACCATGGTCTGGAAGTTGATGAGCGACTCGAGACGGCCCTGGGAGATTTCGGGCTGGTAGGGGGTGTAGCTCGTGTACCAGGCGGGGTTTTCGAGCACGTTGCGGAGGATGACGGGGGGCACGAGCGTGTTCTGGTAGCCCATGCCGATGAGGCTCTTGAAAGGGCGGTTCATGCTTGCGATGGTCTCTGCGCGCTGTGCGAGCTCGGACTCGGAGAGGGGCTTGATCTGGTCGTAAAAGGCGTCGGACTGCTCGAGACGGACGCTGGGGGAGACGGTGTCGTTGACGAGCTGGTCCATGTGGTTGTATCCGAGCGCCTGGAGCATCTTGGCGGCATCGCGATCGCGGGGCCCGACGTGGCGCGGCTCAAAGGTGTCGAGGGGCGCAAAGATGGAGTCGGCGACCTGACGCGATCCGAGCTCGGGGGCGTTTTCGGTGGAGCTGAGCGTTGCGAGGTTGCGACGCGAGGAAGCCCAGGCGATGGGAGCCAGACGCGAGCCCGAAGCGACGGCCGAGGCGACGGTCGAGGCGACGGGGAAGCGACGCACGGAGCGTGCGGCTGCGACGGCCGGGATGCGCGAACGCGCGAGTAGCGAGGTGGCGATCATGAGGGGGCAGTCTTAAGCCGTGACCACGGTGAGCGAGTGAGAAGAGGGGTCACTGTATGCTCGCCGGCGTTGCACACGGAGCGGACGATGGTGGTGAGAGGGAGACGACACCGCCTACGATGCTCTAACGCTGCACACCGAGCGCTGAGTGCTGATTGCTGAGTGCTGAGTGCTGAGTAGCGTTGGCGGAGGAGCCGGCTGTCAGTCACGAGGCCTTCTTGGCTTTTGGGTGCAGCTCGGAATGCATCGGTGCGCTCTCTTTCTCCTCTCTCTCGCAACTGGCTCGGTGTGTGGGGGGAGTCGGGAGTGTGCGCATTTCCGGTGGCCACTCGGTGCTCTCAGAGCCGTTTCAACCGCAACCTTTTTTCGCTGCAGCGAGCGCGCGCGCGCGTTATCTCGAGCCAATTCTTCGAGGCGTGGGTGGTGTGAATTTTTTCCAATTCGCTCGCCCCAGTCTTCCCCACCCAAAACCGGTCAAGCCAAACGAGGAATCTTACTCGAGTTGAGGCGCGGCAGCTCAGGGTCTTGCCTCGTCGCGATACGCACATCTGCTGGCCCACCCTTTCGGCTTGCCTCTTTTAGTAATCTCAACTGCCTCTTATGGTAGTCGCTGCCAGCCACGGCGCAGCCACGGCGTGATTGGACCATCGCCCCCGCCGCTGCTCTGCCCCTCGTCATCCGCATGCTGCAGCGGCCCTACTCATCTGAGCACCTCGCATGACCGTGCAAGCGGGCGCCCGACATGCCTTTGAGCCAGCCGCCAAATCCGAACTCTCCCTTCTCTTCTTCTCCTGCACAGACCCAAATTTTGGTCGGTCGCATGTAAGATCGTCAATGCCGTCAATTCCTTTCCTTAGGCGAATCCGCATGGCCAGTAGTGCCGCTTGGGTGTTGGAACGATCAGATGCCAAAGCTCGGATACTGATGTGCGAGCTTGCGCAGCTGGGTATCGCAATCCACAATGCTCATCTTCTTGCCCGCCAGCACCATGTACGTCTGGCTCGCACCTCCTCCCTCCTTGTGCAGCCGCTGTCGACTGGCCGTCCACGTCTTGCCTTGACTCGAGCGCGAAAACGTCTCGAGCACGCCGTGACGACGCATGAGCTCGTGTGCAGACACACAGTGTGCATCCGCCACCACCTCCACCTCGGCGTCCTTCTCCCCTGCCGCCCAGAGTGTACTGTACATCGTCTGTGTGAGACCATCGATGTGGACGAATCCAACACTGTCGCTTGTAGGCGGTGCAGAGCGCGCATGGTCGTTGAGAAGCCGCTGCATACGTCGCAGCACCATCCACGCGTCGTCCAACAGATCATTCGACGTGACACTGAGCCTTGATCCGCTGTCCGAGGCGAGCCGCTCGATCAGCACCATCGTCAGCAGTCGGCGTGTCGTGAAGAGCACCCGGTACGGCGTACACCTTAACGGCTCCTCCTGCAGTGCCAATACGCTCTCGTAGCATAGCGGCTCCTCAGCACTCCCGACGTACACCCGGAAGCTCTCGAAAGGCTGCGCAGTCTCGTGACCCCACCCGTCGAGCTCAAAGTCGTGGTGCTGCCCGCCACCCAGCGATGCACCTTGCGAATCTCCACCGGTGCGCAGCTGTGGCGAATTTGTCGAGACCGTCGCTTCCGACCCAACCGCTTTGCTGTACCATGCCGCCGAGGTCACCGAGATCGAAGGAAACGCTTTGGCACTCGCGCTCGTCCCAATCGACGCCGCGTCCGCATCCCTGTCGTCCACACGCTGGCTCGCCGAAGCCACGCGTTCAGCTTCGTCCTGCTGCGCCGCGGTTTCATCTGCATGGCTTGCTTCTTCGGCTCCTTCGGCTCCCAGCGCTTCTGCCAGCTCGTCGACGTCCACCTCGGGCTCCAGGATCGACACCTTGGTCACCACGCTCGCATCAGCCTCGGCGCCACTCGTGTCGAACGAAGCGTCGGCGAACCGCTCCTGGTCCGTCGCCTCGGTCTCGCGCGTCGCCGCGCCATCCTCCCCCGACCTCGCCGACGCATTGGCCAGTCCCAGAGACGCACCCAGTCCACGCAGCGCCAGCTCGGCACCGTTCCACACCTTCTCCCCCGCATCCTGCAGCGAGCCTAGTGGGCTAGCCACATCGCCCACCTTGCCGCTGTCGCCACCGCTAGACGCCATCGAGATTGCAGACGCGCCTGGCTCGGTCGATGGTTTGGGCTCGGGTGTTTCGGTGCGAGCGGGCGTCTCGCTGCTGCGTAGGCCCAGCTTGCCGAGTCCACTCAGCATGCCGCCCCAGTTGGACCAGCGTGTCGAGTCGCTCGTCGTCGATGCCTGGCTCGACGCGCTCGTTGAGCGTTGCTGCATGGCGGGCGAAGACACCACGCGCATCTTGCCTGCACCCGTGCCGTTGGACAGCAGCCCCGTGCGCACGTCGCGCTTGCTACTGCTCGAACCGCGTTCCCGAATGGCACCCGACGTGCCGCGTCGACGCCCGTCGCTCGTGCTGGCTACCGCCGCCGCACGCACCAGCTCGCGCTCCCGTTCCAAGCCCGTCAGATGGCTCACTACCCGCCGTAGCAGCTCCGCTTTCGTCGCTGCGTCCATCTGCTCTGCGTCCCTTTGTTGTTGCTCGGGTCTGGCGTCGCGCGGGTCGTCGAAGCAGCCTGCATCGCTTGGCGGCCATAGAAGCTGGGTATCGGAAAGTACAATCATCTCGCGCTCCCTCTGTAGCCGCTGTGCAGCATCAGACCGCATGAGCTCTTCGATCCTTTCGCGTGGTCCACGCGGTACCACAGGATACGCCTGTATACACTCCGTAAACAACCTATGCTGCTTGGTTGACCCTGCATTCGTTGCAGCTTCCAGATCCCAGCTCCAAGCCCAGACGGAAAAGTACTTTTCCAACGACCGTTCCAGCCCCACCCTTCCCGTGTTCTGACTGAGGAGATGGGCAGGTCCACCATTGAGTAGCGTCCAGTCGGTCCACGATCTGCGAATGCCTTCTTCCAGCCAAGCATCTGGAAGCAGATCATCGTGAAACTCGCGCTTCGGCTTGGCATCGGGTGACGAGGTGGTGGTGCAGGCAAGGTCAATGCTCGCATGGACCCAGACGCCCGCTTCCACCTCGACGAGGATCATCCGTCGCTTGCTGGAATGCACGTTCCACGTCCTTCCCCTCTCTGCAGTGTCGCTGGGTGTTGGATGGACCATGCTGCAGAATTCGATCATGCCTTTTGCAACACCGATCTGACGAAGCATTCGATCCTTGGGCGCGGCTCGAGCGCGGCTGGTGTAGAAGAGGATCTGCGCAGATTCGCGCTCCTCCTCACGAGCTTCCGCGTCTTGCTCCTCCTCATCCTCTTGTTGGCTACGTCGAGACTTGGGTGGCTTGAGTGCAGGACAAAAGATGGTAAAGTACGATAGCGACGCCGGCTTGAATGTTGGTCCCGTCGACGACGACGATGCCGTGCTGGCCGATGCTCCGAGCGCCGTGAACGACGGCAGGAACGACATGCCCTCTCCAGCGAAAAGCAGCGGTGAATGCGGGTTGGGTTGTGGCGCAAAGGCAAGGTGCGGGTGTTGGGAGAGCTCAAAGTGTTGCTTTGCACTCCGGCCGAAAGTGGAGGCGCGTGCGTGCTTCACCCGCCGCCACGCACCGCCATCAGCGCGCGTTCCGCACACGCCTCTCCACTCACATGCCCAACGCAGGATCGCCCTCACCATCTTGACCCCGCACCCAAACAACACACGCCATACTCTGAAAACGCACGCACTCCCATTGAACACGGAACACGCGCGCACAGACGATATCTACAAAACGCCAGGTGCGCCTTCACTTGGCAAAGCTGCGCAGGCCCGACGCGAGCCTGCCCACCTCGGAGATCTGCGAGACCTTGCAGAGGGAGCCCTTGAACTCGGGCAGGTAGCGTGCGCCCGTGAGCGGGTCCGCCACCGATCCAGCGCCCGCCGCCGCGATGAGGCGGTGCGAGCCGGCACAGATGACAAACGTCTGCTCGAGCGGGTCGTACCCGGCCACCTCGACCGCATCGCGCGGACTGCGCTCGGCGAGCGAGATGATCTGCTGCGCCTTCTGCGCCACCGCCGGCGCGGGCGACAGCGCCACGAGCCGCTTGGCAAAGCTCGCCGCCATGGCCAGATTGTTCACCTTGCGCGCCTCGGTCATGGCGCTGCGCAGCGCCAGCGTCTGATGCTGCGGCTGCAGCTGCGTATGCGTAAACAGCGCCGCCAGCTCCAGGTTGCGCGCCACATTGTCTGGCTCCGTCTGCATCAGCTTGCGCCGCCCAAGCTCGATCGAAACGCCGAGAATGTACTCGCGGCACAGCACCACCAGATCCTGGATCTCGGTCGCCTCGGCCTCGCTCAACGCCGGCGTCAGCACGAGCTGGTGCAGCAGGCGTCGGAAGATCGTCTCGGCCTCGGCGAGCTTGTTGGCGCTGACGGCGCGGTAGCCCTCCTGCAGCTCGCCCGAAGCGAGCGCCTTGACCGAGCGCGGCGACGCCGGATGCGCCTGCGTCACCTTGCCGTCGCTCTCTTCGTTGTTCCTGCGCAGATGCACCTCGATCGGTCCCACGCCCGGCGCCGCAGGCAGGTAGCTGCGCGCGGCAAGGAACGACGACAGGAAGAGCGGCTTGAGCGGCGCAAAGTCGACGATGCCCGCCTGCCGCGAGAGCAGCGTCATGGCCGTCTCCACCGAGCCCGCAGCGGCGTGGTCGGCAGCCACGGGCGAGTTACGCAGCCAGTGTTCCGCCTCGGAGCTGCCAGCGGCCAGTCCGTCGAGCGGCGCGTCTTGGAGCGGCGCCACCACCGCCGCCTCTTGCTCGGCCAATGCCACCTCCTCCTCCTCTTCCGCCAGGTCCCACGCCTCCTCGGCCTCGCCAAAGTCCTCGGGCTCGGCGTCGAGTGCGTCTTGGTCCTCGTCGTCTTCCGACTCTTCGAGCGCCTCGCCGTCGAGCCACGACTCGATGTCGTGCGTCTTGGCGCCGTTGAGCGCATTGTCCTTGAAGATCGGACCGCCCTCGTTGCCGGCGACGAGCGCACGGTCAAAGTAGCTCTGCTCGGTGCTCACAATCGGCCAGTTGTACTGGAACGCCTGCGACACGGCGGTGGGCGGCGCCAGCTTGGACGAGCCCTCGCCAAGGCTCAGCTGCCGGTCGACCTCGGCGGCCTCCTCCTCCATGCCCGCCTCGGCAGCGATGGCCGTCGCGCGGTCGTCGAGGCCGTTGGACTTGGCCGCCGCGTAGGCGAGTGCGGGCAGACCGACATCGGCGAGCACGCTGGCGCGGGCGTCGGCGTTGCCGAGGTAGAGCGCGTTGTGGAAGCGGCTGAGGTGGTCGCCGCGCTTGTCTGCGATGACAGCCATCTTGGCGAGCTTGTCGGTGTTGCCGGTGATGAGGTAGAGGAAGCTGAGCTTGTCGAAGCTCTTTGTGCGCTGGTAGGCGCGCTCGACGATCTTGTGGTTGCCCTGGCGCAGCGCGGCGGTGGCGAGGCGCTCCCACACCTCGTCGACGTTGAGCGACTCGGCGGTCTCGAGCGCGACGTCGAGGTTGCCGCACTCGATGGCGAGGTCGAAGCGCGTGCTCTTGTCCTGGACGAAGTGGAGCGCGATCTCGGGGTAGCCCTTCTTCTGGAGGAAGGCGATGATGGCCTGACCGACGAGGTTGGAGTTCTTGATGATGGTGAGCACGTCGTCGTACTTGCCCTGGACGAGTGCGAGCTTGAAGCGGAACTCGGTTGGGTCGATCTGGATGTTCTGCGGGCGCGCGAGGCGGTCGAGGCACGACACGGTCTTGCCCTTGACGCGCGTGAGGTAGACGGGCTGCTCGAGCGTCTTGATGATGCCGTTGTCGCCCTGAGGCAGCGCGTACTTGATGTGGTTGAGCGTGCTGTAGAGGAGCACGCCGCTGTCGTCCCATGCGGCGCTCTTGATGCGGATGGTCTCGTGGATCAGGTTGGACGAGGCGAACGACTTGTCGGCGAGCGTGATGGTGTGTTTGCTGAGCAGCGCGACCATGCTGCCGTCGATGCTCCACACGACGTACTTGACGGGCGGGCTGGTAAGTTCGGCGAGCGTCTTTTGCTGCTGGATGTCGTAGAGGATGACGCCGGTGGCGGTGCTGAGGATGAGGCTGGCGGTGCCGCCAAAGAAGATCTCGTTGGTGGGCTGAGGCGGCGTGATGGTCTTTGTGACGGCGTTGTTGAGGTCGCGGATCTCGATGGTCTGGGCGGCCTTGTCGAGCACGGCGAAGCGGTTGCGTGCGACAAAGATGGCGCTGGAGCCCTGGCCTCGCTTACCGACGCTGGACGACTCGGCGAGGTCGCCGCCGGCCTCGCGCGGGAGCGGTGCGACGTCAAAGGTGCCCTGGTCGCCGCTGACCGAGGTGACGATGACGGAGCGCTCTGCCGGGTTGTAGCTGAGGGTGCGCGGAGGGATGTACTGGTTGCCGAGGCGCTTTACGCTGAGCAGGGCCTGGTCGGCACCGGTGGCGTAGTCGAGCGAGCGGACCTGCTTGTCGCGAATGTAGTAGAGCGTGTTCTGATGCACGGAGAAGGCGGGGCGTTCGCGCTCGAGCTTGAAGACGATGAGGCCGTTGTCGTGGCCGGCAGCAAAGAGGTTCAAGGTGGGATGGGCGGTGAGGACCCAGAAGCGGTCGGACTCGCGGCGGAAGGTCTGTACGGCGGTGCGCTTGCCCATGTCCCAGACGCGGATGGTCTTGTCCTCTGCGTCGGAGATGATGAGCTCGTGGCGCGGGTGGAAGAGGGCGGAGGAGACGTTGTTGAAGTGGCCGCGGCAGGTGTCGACCTCCCAGGCCTTGGAGTCGGACATGCGCCAGAGCTTGATCTGGCGGTCGTCGCCGGCGGAGACGATGAGGGGCAAGGTGGGGTGGAAGGAGGCCCAGTTGATACCGCGGTCGTGGCCCTCGAGGACGTACTTGACCATGGCGTCGGTGTTGCCAAAGAGGTCGGCCTGACCGGAATTGGCGCGTGCAATCTGCTCCTCGATGCTCATGGGCTGTGCCGATGTGTTCTTCTTGCGGAGTCCGCTGATGTCCCACACGCGAACGGTCTGATCCATCGAGGCGGAGACGATGAGGTCGTCCTTGGGGTGGAACTGTGCGCACATGACGTAATGGTTGTGGCCAGTGAGGATGGCGATGCAGGTCCTGCTCTGCCAGTTCCAGATGCGAATGGTCTGGTCATCGGAGGCGCTGAGAATCCAGGGGTGCTCGTGGTGGAAGAAGACGGTGCGGACGTAGTCGAGATGGCCGTTGAGGGTGAAGAGGCACTTGCGGGTCTTGTGATTCCACACCTTGATCTTGTAGTCGTCACCGCCGCTGACGAGGAGGGGCTGAGAAGGGTGGAAGCAGATGCCGCGAACGGGGCCATCGTGCTCCTCGAGACGGTCGTAGATGGTGCCGGTCTGGTAGTTCCATAGCTGGATGGAGCCGTTGTGGAGCGAGGAAGCCAAGAGCGGGAGGCGCGGGTGGAAGGCGATGCCCTTGACGCGGTTGGATTTGGACTCGAACTTTGTGAGCATCTGCATGGCGAAGAGGAGCGTGCTCGAGAGAGTCGAGCGGCCCGGTGCGGATCAATCAAGCGAGGCAATGGCGACGAGGGCCAGGCAGGCAGGCAGGCAGGCAAGCAGGCAGGCAAGCTCGTGCACGCTTGAGGCGAAGTTTGCAGTGGCCGCGTTGCAGTCGAGCGGCAAAGAGGCGCCGAGAAAGGAAGGAAAGAAAAGACTGCCGATGGTGGATGGGCAAGTCAGATTGATGGGCGAGAGAGAGAGAGAGAGAGAGA